GTATTGCACCATGGCACTGTTTCTACACTCAAGCCTCCTTTGGGCACATGATGATTCCATCCATCGCATGCAAAATCTCTGGACGGGGAAGATATTGATGTTTCTAGCAGTATTATTTTATCTTGCTTAGAACTTCCAAAGTTCCACTAGCTTTTAAGGGGAATATGACAATAATGGCGGTTATCCCCTGACTCCTTCTCCTCTCATTCTAGCTATTTCACTGGCTCTGTAGTTGTGGCTGGGAGGACATAAATGGTTAGCCTTCTCATCTTTTTAGAAAAACAGAATGATCAAACTTCAAAGTAAGCATCTTTTCTTCAGAACAGCAGGCAAGAGATCTCTTTCTATACATTTAAAATGGCAAAAGCCAAAAGTAAGCATCTTTTCTTCAGACCAGCAGGCAAGAGAGAGATCTCTTTCTATACATTTAAAATGGCAAAAGCCAGGAACAGGTAAAAGTTACATGGTGGAACAAAAACAAGGATGACTAAGAGATGACAAAGGAAACAGACTTGAGATTAAACTTATAGAACACACTCTTTGTGTGTCAGAATCCAGAGACCACTTGGAAACTGAATCTGGCACAGAACGTGGTGGTCCTTTTGTTGACTGGAGAGTCACGCCAGCCACATGTGACATGGATTATTTAGGAGATGCAGTAGATGAGGATACATTTCCAGATACCATTGGATTGATTGTCAGTAGGAGTTGGGTGCCTAACACCACTTTGTGCCTTTGAAAGTCTCCCTGTGAACAGTTTGGGACCTGGTAACCCACGAACTTGCCTCTGTGTCCATGCCATACAGCCACAGTTCAGTCAGTGCTCTTACTTGAACTCCTTTGCTATTAAATGGTGAAAACCTTTCTTAACTCTGAGCTATGGTTGCCTGGTGATAGCTTCTGCCCCTCCAGAATGTCACAATGTTGAGCTCAGCAAAACTTAAACTTATGAAAAACTAGGAAATTCTAAGAAAAATGCCCAAACAACCTTAACTTTGCCCCCCATGGAGCTGGCAAGAGTCGCTAAGAAATATCTGCATGCACTTCAGCTGCATTCACTGTGTTAGATGCAGCCATATTGAATGGTAGGGGAATAAGTTGGAGCAGCTCAGAAGAGCGTGAAAGGGGTCCAGGTTGCAAATAGCAGAGAAAAAGAGGAATGGGGAGGGAAAAAACAGAGAAAAAAATGTTGTCACTTATTGTGTCCATATAGGTGTCAGAGACAAACACCTACAGCAAGGGTGGCCAACCCGTTCTGGACAAAGAGCCAAGATATTAGTGGATCCAGTGTGAAGAGCCAGGGCAAAGTTGTAGAAAAAAAAAAGGCCTGCCTCTTTAAGAAGTGTGAGAAGTGCATTTCTATGCTTTTTAGCCTCAGCAGGCTCCTGCCGGCTGCCACCACATTGGAAGTGCCATCCATATTGGAAGCACCGGCTCATTCCACTTGCCCTGGTGAGCACAGAGGATCCGGGGGCCATTCTCAGGGGTGTGGGATGGCTTCACAAGCTGCACTGTCGGAATGGGGGGGAAGGAGTGGAAGAGTCGCACGTAGCTCATGAGCCGTGGGTTGGCCATGGCTGACCTACAGGATCACTATCAATCATTCTTAAAACTTAAATACCCACCTGGTGAAGTGAAAAAACATATTGACAGAGCCAGACCAGTACTCAGGCATCAGCTTCTTCAAGATAGGCCCAACAAAGAAAACAACAGAACACCACAAGTTATCACCTACAGATCCCAGATTAAACCCCTCCAGCGCATTATTAACAATCTATTACCTCTCCTGGAAAATGACCTCTCACTCTCACAAGCCTGGGTGGACAGGCCAATCCTCGCCTAACCTCAAACAGATTCTTTCCTGCAACCATGCAGCACAGCTCCATCATACTCATCCAGGAACAATAACCCCAGTGCCAATTCTGTCCACACATCAGTACCAGTGATATCACAGGACCTAACCACATCAGCAGCTCATATAACTTCATATCCACTAATGTGATCTGTGACATCAAGTGCCCCTCTGCCATGTATATTGGCCAAACTGGGCAGTCTCTACAACAAAGGATTAATGGACACAAATCAGATATTTGAAATGGTCACACACAGAAACTGTAAGGGAACATTGCAACTTGCTGGGCACTCATTAATGGATCTAAAAGTGTCTGAATTATTTCAAAGCAATTTCAAAAGTCCCCTGGAGAGAAAAACTACAGAACTGGGTTTCATTTACAAGTCTGACACCTTGAATAGAGGTTTAAACAAAGACCTGACCTAGATGGGCTGCTACTTTCCACATCCTAATAATGACATAAAATGCTAAGCACCGGGTACTTAGAATACTTATAGCCATCTCTATTAGCCTCATTTAGCATGGATACTCTAATTGAT